AAAGCTCGACAAACTACCAAAAAGAGAGCTCTCAAAAATGAGTTTCACTTTTTGCAAAACAAAGTGCATTACTAGATATAGGTTACGTAAATAGAAGAGTGAGTCATCCAGCGTCAGGCCACAGACTAACAGTGTTTCATTACTTTGTTTCAAAGCGTACGGCAAGCGAACTAAATTGAATATACGTTCTGATATACCCTTTGAGTTCTGTAAGAATTTTAAAAAAAGAATAGTAAAAAATGTTCGACGTATACGCTAAACTAAAAGTTAAGTTTTGGATCTTTTCATCAGCTTTCTTAATGACTTAAGTCAAGGTTTACTTTCTGTTCCTCAGTCGTTCTATAACAGTGACTTGAGACAACTCTAAGGATTGTTTAGTCAATATTTAACTGAAGATGATGTTGCAGAGAGTTAAGACCGACATAATTCAAAATGAAACCTTGAATTAGCACTCAAGTTTTTAGATGAAACATCAGGATCTAAGTCAGCTCTTAACTAAGATTAAAGCAAGTTAATAAAAGACCATAATAGAAAATCGACAACTAACCCTAGAGAAAGTTCTTGGGCCCAAGAAATAGCAAGATCTTGGGGCAAGAATGTCCCAAGATCTTGGAATTTCTTGTGCAATAAACAATCTTTTTACCATCTTACTCAAGAAATGTATTTCTTGCCTTGCAAAAAGAAAGCAAAAAAAATGAAATGTCAGGATCGAGATTCGAACTCGCAATGCAGTGAGATAGTCTAGCTTATAATATTCAGAGTCTCACGCCTTATACCACTCGGCCATTCTTCTTCGGTATCTTCTTATCTTTCACCAGTCTGAATATGATGCAAAACCTCAAACTTATCGAAAAATAAATAATTAGGATGTATCTCATCAAGGAAGCATCTAATAGAGTTATGGCTGGAACAAAAAATGTTCGAATTAGATTCTGCATTGAGTAGAATCCATAGAGCTCTGTAAAAACTCATACTTGGCGAGGAAAGTAATTACTATTTTTTTCAGCAGTGAGACATCTTGGACTTTCGAGCTCACAATACAGAATCAAATTCTAAGCAACATAGAACACCACTGATTATCCTATGGTTTTCTGGGAAAGCATTAATTAGCGCGAAAACGCTAATTTCGATAATTGGCATTTTTTACGCAGAAGACAGCATTTGGCAAATTTGATCCGGCAACGAAAAATGTCAGAAATTAAATTTTGCACATTTTATCTGCTGGTACCAACTTTGTACGATATTTTTGCTACAAGATATGCCTTTCTTGCAGGTAATCGTCAAAATAGATTTTTCTTGCAACAGCATAGTTTCTTGCATCAAGAATCAAGAAAATTTACATTTTGATTCTTGTCCGAGAAATGCATAAGAAAGCCCAAGATCTTGCTTTCTTGGCTTCAAGCACTTTCACTGAGGAATGTAACTGATAGATTTGTTTTAAGGGGTATGGCTTTTTTCAAGTTCCTTTTCTGATAATGAAAAAGCGGCTCTATTTAACGAATATTTTGCGTCATGTTTTGTACCAAGATCAAGACCAACTTCGAAACCAAGAATTCGAATTGATGACATTTTTACATTAGTTCCACCGTCTAAAGATCAGATTTTAAAAGCAATAAGCGATCTCAAAACTAATATAGCAGCCGGTCACGACGGCATGACAGTTTCTTTTCTTAAGGAATGTTCTTTTCAACTTCTCGATCCTATTCACCATATATTTTCTCTTTCTATATCCAATGGCATTCATCCACTTCTGTGGAATACAACTATTGATATTCCAATTCATAAAAAGGCTCCAAAAGCTTTTCCCTGCCAAATACTGTTGTATCTTGTCAAACCGTTACTACTTTCAAACGAGCATTACGCGCTCACCTATCAATATGAGTGTGTTGTATTTGGTTATTGTTTTTCTTCTATATTCTCTGCTCGCGGTTGTTCTTTTTTCTGCATGGTGGCACTGTGTTTACAAGCCTTTGATTTTCTTGTGCTTTCCTTTGTTACGAGATGTTTTCTTGAACATACAATAAACTTTCAAGTTCAAGTTTTTCTTGCTGTTTTTTCAGAATTCAGAAAGTCATGCCTGTTAAAAAATACCATTCGATACGAACTCATGAATGTATTTCGTTTTTCTCGGAATCCGTCTGTCTTGTCCCATCGGACAGACGAATCGACGTTTGAGACGGCCACGCAGGACTCTATTTGACACAGCTCCATCAGCGATGGTTCGGGTTTGTCAACTGAAATTTTCCAATATCAATAACAAAACATTCAAAATGAGAAAATTCAGAAAAAAAATATAAGAACAATCAGAATAGCTGTGTTCGTCAAACGTATCGTAGTCTTAAATCTTACCTTGTTTTCCTGATTTTAGGTTCGGTTTACTATGTGTTTTTATTTTTTTTCTCATCTTGTTTTGTATTTGAACTTGATTTTATTAAAACAGAATAATGAATAACAACCTTTTTTTTCTTCCTAGGCATATTTTATAACTCTGTACGCTTTGCCTTTAATTCCAAAGCGTAGACATATGCTCTGCGATCAGTTACAAAGCGTATATGTACGTTTTCTGGTAGATTCTCATTAGAAATCCTGATTTAGTAACCGCTGCATCACGACGTTGTAGTAGTTAAAACATTCTTCATTTCCGAATGCTTTTTTTCAAAAATTCAGTTTTGGGCAGGATATAAGCGACGTTTCTTCCAGATAAACAATAAACTTTTTCTTGCAGAATAGTTTATCAACAAAAGCGGTTTATAGTCGGCATAATGTGTCGCCCTTATTGAAGATATACCCTAACAGTGCATATTAAGTGATATGGTTCAATGACCAATTATACTACTCTTTCTCTATTGTTAACTGTAGATGTTCTCAAATATTGAGATCGCTGTCAGTTATGGCGATTCAACAAGAAAATATGTTGAACTAAAAATTAATGATAAAAAACCGATAATTGAAGAAAAAATCAAACAAATATTTTTACCTCGTACTCCGATTGATTTTGCTACAGTCAAGGCACAATATTATGACAGAGAACACAACAAGTGGAGTGATTTGGACGAGAAGTACAATGAACTATTAAAAGAGCTAAGTTTGGTAACGAATCCGGATAAAAGTGAAAAAGTCTGGGAACTAAGACTAATCGACAAAGACTGTGAAAGCACATCAGCATTGTTGGACGATATAGATGGTATGTTTATTTTCAATTAATTTTTTAAACCTTAAATTGAGATTAGAGTTTCCATCAAGAAGTTCGACTAGGAGCACAATAGAGGATGGATGGAAAAACGAACATAGTACACCACAGCTTCACTATAAAAGAAATCCGTCTTACTCTTGTATTGGTCTAACTTTTTTTCTTCCGTCTTATTTGAGGACAGACGAATCTATCAGTCTTATTTGTAAGACCGAAGAAAGAGATCCTATTTTTATCGTCTAAAGGATAAGAAATCATTCAACTCTTTTGTGTCGCATTCACTACTCGTATATAAAGAACAGAGAACTTATTGAAAATACACTAGGAATTATTCCAGTTTTCTCTTATAAAATGGTGACAATAGTTAGACCTAGAATACTGGTCCATTCTCATGAGATCAGATCATGCGTGATCTAATTTTAAAATTCGAATGTTATAGAAAATAAGACAGATAAATTTATCGGTCTTAAAATAAGACGGATAGAAGCGTCTTAATTTAAGACCCATGTATGCCACTAATCGTCAATCGACTTATAGTGTCTTATTTTAAGAAGCATTTTTTTAGAGTGGTCTCATCCGCGATTTCATATTTATAACTTTCCGTCCTCAGAAAGATACTGATAAATATTCGACATTATTTCTACTTGTTCTAGCGACGCCGCCATTGTGCTTGGTGGACAGCCGACGACAACAGTTAGAAGAACATACGTATCTAGGCCAAAATGATTTGAATATTGATGCTAATCTACTAGACGAGTTAGCGAAATCAGATGATCCAGCAAGCCTACAAATTATGACTATAGAGGAATTGCTAGAATCTTTTAACAAAGCGTGCTCGCCGGTTCCAAGCCATTCTCCAGGTAACACGCTATGCTAAAAGTACATAAAGAGAAATGTGTAACGGAGGGTAAAATTGGTTTAAACAACAATAGGTACAGTCAGGAAAAGCGCAAAAGGCAAATGTAGAAGAAAGGGAGAAAAATAGAAAAAGAAATGTGCACGATAATTACTGATTAGTGCCCAGTTTACGGCTTTTAATTGAAATTTCATGAAACAAGTGTTTTGTGCCCGGTTTCTTCTACATACAAACCAATATGCATCATAATTCCCATTGGATGTTTACAAAACACGAAAATCAATCCTCTCAGTCAGTCATAGTCATTCCAGAAAAGCGCAGGAAACTCTGTTTACGAAAACTTTTACGCGTTTAGCGAGTTTCGAATAATAACGCGCAAGAAGCTGCGAGTGTGTAAAAATAAAACGCAGAAAACGCAAGTTGCCATGGAAATAAAGGCTGTACACGCTGTCCTTGCGCTTTGTTTTTACACACTCGCAGCTTCTTGCGCGTTATTATTCGAAACTCGCTAAACGCGTAGAAGTTTTCGCAAACAGAGTTTCCTGCGCTTTTCTTGAATGACTATGACTGACTGGGCTGCGACCACTGATTTAACAATAATTTCTCTAACAGCTCAGGGCGTACGTGTTGTTGCATTATGATTCGAATAATTATGTGAATTTGATATTGAAACAATGAACTCGAGTGTATGTTATCTTTCAGTTCTTAGCAGAGGATTGTAAGGTACAACACAACTCAGCACGTGCCGTACAGTAGTCTATAAGTGATTTTACTTTAGTCAAATTGTAAACAAAAGTACGATTGAGTCTGCTTGTACATTGCTATCATTGTCACAAGACTGTCGTGAAAAAAACGGGTACAAAACAGTAATTTTTTCTTTTTCAATTTTAAAAATGAATCAGACACAAGTCGGTGAAAACGTTATTTGTTCCGGACCGGGCATTGGGCACAAAAACATTTTCACCCAATATCGCGAATATCTTTTTAAAAATGAGCAACTCTATACTTTTTTCTTATAAAATTTAAAAATGACAACCATGCGGGCTTAGTACGATTACCCCTCCGGCACAGTAGGGGCCTGTTTTCTCTCGTATGTGTTGATACTATGTTAGTATGCTGCATGACAAAACAGCGTAAAGCCTTCTAATATTCTTCATATTTTACTTAAAAATATGCACTGTTACTTAGCTGTGATTTTAGACCTGTTGCTCAATCTTCCAAGCAATGTCAAACCAAGTAATGCTAGTACTTGTGATGTTCAGGACTGGTCTCAAGACGGTATGCTACGCAGAGTACTCATATACACTATGAATGAATTACTGTTTAAAATTAGAAAGTCTCCAGGATATTCCACTGTTATCAGCACCAGAATTATCACTTTCGACGGCAACAGGTAAACAACATGGTTCACTAAGAAATCTGCTAACTTCTCCAGGCGGACTAAAGTCTCCGACGATATCGGAAAATATGAGGAAAAATGAAAGTTGTCAAATTAACTTGAAAGATACTTCATTCGACTCAGTTTTTTGTGCTGATACCGAATCTGTATTTAGTTCATGACTAAACGTCTTATTTGAATTCGAAAACCTTGAATACCGCCTAAAATGACTATGATACCAGTAAAAACGATTTTTCTCAACACAGGAAAGAAAAGAAAAAAAAGCGGTGCGATGCTCATAAAATATTTGACTTCATCGCTTACGTAGAGAAACTTGATGCGTTTACAAAAATGACCTATGCGCGTTGCGCTCGGCGTGATTCGGAGCGCCATCGTGAAAAGATGTCGGGGTCTGGAGCCGATTTAACAACTTATCTAGACTCAGTTTTTGATGCTGAATCTGAAAAAATTAGTTTCAGAAGCTGGAAAAAAAATGAAGTAGAAAATTTTTCACATTTCGAAAAAGATGTGTTTTTCTCGAAAAACGACACCTCGAGTATTTCGTATTTGTCGACCGGAACGAAGCATTTGCTATGGCTAAAAAGTAGTTTTTTGTGATCAGCAGCTCACGCTCTATCAAATGGTGTAAAAAAAACAGTAAAAAAATTTTACTCGAAGTTTGACTTGCTTGCACCTTCCAATACTTTCTCATTGAATTTGATCTTTGATTAACGAGGGAACCTCCCCAAATGTTCCCTTATTTTTTTGTTTGAATGTAGTAGGTTATAGGTAATCGACCATGCTGATTCTGAATACGATAGCCGTTTTGGCCCATAGGCCTTTCTTAGCTTGTTTCTGAAAAAACTTAAAAAGTTCTTCAAACTTTTTCTAAATAAGTCACTATTGTAGCCCGCAAAATTTGATCAAAATGAGTCATCTCCCCGCTCTGCACAACCTTTCTTTGCAAAGTTACAGAATTTACAAGAAAAGCCCTAAATGTTCATTGTCACCTCAGAGCTACAGAAAGAAAGAGAAAAAATGAATTTAGGGCTTTTCTTGTAAATTCTGTAACTTTGCAAAGAAAGGTCGTGTAGGGCTGGGAAATGCCTCATTTTGATCAAAATTTCGCGGGCTACAATCATGGCTTATTTAGAAAAAGTTTTAGGGAATTTTTCGAGGTTTCTGAAAAAAACAGTTTTCCGGAAGCAGGCTAGGAAAGACCTTTGAACCAAAACAGCTATCGTATTCGGAATCAGCATAGTCGATTACGTATAACCTACCACATCAATGAAAAAAATGAGGGGACGTTTGCAGAGGTTTCCTAGTGAGTCACAGAGAATGCAAAGGAAGAAAACACCGTTTGTTTTTCTGCATAGTCCAACTAGTAGAGGTGTTCAACATTCTTTTTTTCTTTCTTTTTCCATGTGTAAACTACAATAAGCAATCGCTGAGAAAAGAGATACGTCATTATTTTATATTTATAAAGTTTTGTAGTGCGTGGAATGTGAGTCAGCCGAATACAAGAGAGGATATAGTGAAGTTCACATGTGCTATGTTTCAATTTTCAAAGCAAATTACTATGATTTTTCACGGATTTTAAGAAAAAAATTCACTTTTTAATATATATTTAATATACATATAAGTTTTTTTCGTTTCTCTTCATGTCCTTTGGAAAATGATCCGTTATATCAGTAGTCATTTTTTCTATCATACCCCAAGCATAGAAAAGTATTATAACTGAATTTTTTAGATCCAACCAATCGACAAAAATACATTGGTGGTGGCATCCCAAATTTAGGCAGCACATGCTATGTCAATTGTGTAATACAAGCGTTAGCCTATATAAGATTCGCATTAATGACCTGGACTGCGGCCAACTTTCACACAAATAACGATTTCGAATTGACATGTAAGTAGTTATATAGGGAAAAGATTTTAAAACGACATTATTGAAATACTGTGAGAGAGAGACTGATCAGTGCAGCGATCGACATAAAAATTAAGATGCCAACGTAGATATGCGAATACTGGGTTAATCTTATTTAGCCATTTTCGCGCTGAATGTACTATCTCACTGGAGGAAAGTAATTGGTACCGTTTTTAGAACTCTGCGGCACTTTTAGGAATATATTGACAATATTATGTCTTAAATTTGATATTTTTCTTAATACTCTTCCACAAATTTATTTAAATAATTTAAATAAATTTGTGGAAGGGGGGGCGGATTCCCACAAAAGGTACTGTTAAACCTTCTCAGATTGTAGATAACACTTGACTGCATATATCCTGATTTTTTTTCGGAGAGTCGGTGAGCATTCACGGAGTTATAAATTAATTAAGATAAAATCTTAGCAAAAAATTTAATTGCTAGGTCTATTTTTAAAAAGCTTACACTTGAGTCAAAAATAGTCGTAGAAACGTCTCTTTTAGCGCAGTGTGGTAGCCAATGATGTATAGTTATAGTTTCATGAAAAAAATTGAAAAAAACATATTTCAAGGTATTAATTTATAATTAATTAGTACTGAGTAATGCTAATTAGCATTACTCTGGTAGCTTACACTTTTATTTCTAAATTAACGATTTGTTGGAAACCGTGAAGTAATAGCTCGTTCGACAAAGATTCTCAAGCGTTACAAAATCCTGTATTCACTTTTTCAAAAATTTACCCGTAAGGAATTACTGTAACCCGGTTTTTCGGAGTCTCGGGTTACTGTTGTCGGCGCCAAAATATAAGGCAGGCGGTTATTTTTTGAATAACTCAAAGACGGTAAAAGATAGA